CTTACACTGCTAAATTAGGGATGGCTAGCACATATAGCCCTCGTGTAGCTTTGCACGAAATCCATAATAAACAAACCTTGGGCTTAATATGAAATTAAGCCTTATAAAGAGCAGTTGCTTAATATGTCGCTAGATAAAATAAACTTCATTATATTTCTATGTTATATTTCTACAGTGATTTTGTTTTTTTTTGCAGTTATCTCCCAACATTATGCAAATTCCAATTCTTCTGAAAACTTTTTCTTTTACCTCAAATCCTTCCTGAAAATGCCAACAAAGCCAACAAAATGTTCCAGATTTACTGTTCTCTGTTAATGTAAAAGATGTTCAAACAGTAAAGGCTTAACCAAATTCTGTAACATTAAAAACAAGTATGGAGTAATTATTGATTTCAGTTATGTGTGGTTTTTGTTTATAATAACAAATAGTAATGTACTTCTTTTGTTTTTTTGCTATAAACTTAGCAATATCCTTTTGTGTCTTCATAGGCACCCTTTCAAACAAAACATCAAGGAAGTCAGATTTGAATTATTATGGTGTATTAAATTATAATTTGTTAATAGTCTTTTGACAAAAGAGATTCTTCCATTACTTGTTTGGAAAGTTAAACTTTTATTGTTTTAATTATACATGTAAACACAAATGTGCACCCACATATAATATTTTTGAATGTTTTTCTTTCTGTTGCCTGTTTGGCATGAAGTTAACTGTATGATATATATATATTGCTTTTGTTTTTTGTTTTTTTGTAGTTGCGAGATCTTGAGGTAGAGCTTGAAGATGAAAGAAAGCAGAGAGGAGCAGCTATTAATGCCAGAAAGAAAATAGAAGGAGACTTTAAAGACCTGGAACAACAGCTGGAAATGGCCAATCGCCTGAAGGAAGATGCCATCAGGCAGTTGAAGAAACTTCAGGTACATTTTTCGTTGAACTGATTTAACTGACCAGTTCTGGCATCAGCGTTAATTATACTGCAAACAGTAGCTTTTTAATATACACTGGAACAAACATTTATTAAATAGAATAACCAAATAATGCTTTCTATTGATAAAACAGTTTATCTTTAGTATTGTTACGCCTCCAGTCGTTAGTTAATTTTCCGTAAATTCGTTCCGACAAAACTTTAGCGACACAAGTCCTTTCTTAAATAAAACTGGTTTATTCTTTCTGAATATAA